TCCATCCGTCCATGTACCCCTGCCCCTGAGCTGTCTCTCTGTGAATAAACAGCCCTTCTTTCTCCCATGATTGTTCTCTCCAAGGAGTATATCTACCTCAGGTAAATGTTCAACTCCTTTGCAGCCTGAGTCTTAGTCACACAGTGGCTGTCAAATAATACCAAGACCCCAACCTTAATTTAAATTAGAAAATGACACTCTCAGGCAAGTTCCCTAGTTCTCTGTGAGAAACCACAAACAAACCAAACCAGTGACCCTCATTGGGTTTCCTTCTGAGGCAGTAAATCTTTACAGAAGTAGATTGCCCAGTCTTGCTTCTGTGGAGTGACTAGTGGGTTTGAAACACCAACCTTCTAGTTAGCAGTCAGATTGTCATAGGCTGAGTTCTGGAATAATGACTAGAAAGTCAGCTGTAGCTAAGAGACAAGTTTAATAAGAGGATAGTAACCTTGGAAGGTGGAAATACACAGGGCCAGAGGTAACACCATGTGTGTCTCCCTGGTCCTTGCAGGCTAGGGGTGGTTTTTTTTAAATGCATTTTATTGAAATATAATTTATGTACAGTGAAATACACAAAACTAGGAAGATGGAGCAATCTACTTCCATAGTGATACTGCTTCAGAAACCCAAGGAGGGGTAGCTATGAGTTGGGTTTGACTCGATAGCACATAACAACAAAGTGACAGGGGTCAGTGCTTTTTTTTTTTTTTTTTTTACAGTGTTCCCTCCTCTCTCCTCCCCTCCCATCCCTGGCAACCAACAAAGAAAGTTTCCTTCCATATATAAACCTTTCCTTGTCCCTCTACAACCATGAACTATATTTGTCCTTCTGTGATTGACTTATTTCACTCAGCATAATGTCCTCCAAGTTCATCCATATTATTTGGTGTTTTGCAGACGCTACATTATTCTTTAGTGCTGCACTGCATTCCATTATATGTATGTACCATAGTTTGGTCATCCACTCTTGGGCTAAGGGTTTTTATAGTAGTTTTTCAGGCTATGGGTACATGATTTTAGAAGACCTTATGCAGGCAGGTATTCATCAAATCCTGACTGTTTTGTGAGAGTCAGGAAGCAGAACAAGGTTGTGATAAATTCCTGAGATAGACCTCAACTTCCTCCAGGCTAGGTGCACATGAGTCTCTTTCTAAGATGGACTCTGTGTGTTCCAACATGGATGTTGTGACCTGCGCAGGTGTATTCTGCTGTTTGCTCTTGGTTTGAGTCTTGGTCTCATCTTGGATCAGCTATCTTAGTTCATCAGGTGGTAAAGGCAGGCAGGGATGCACAAGTTTCAAAACTGGTTGACACCAGTTTTGACATCTCAAGAATGGCCTGTTATCATGAAATGCCATCTAAGCAGTAAATTTATATTTGAGTTATTTCTTTTTCAGTGCCCCATCCTTAGTCTCAGGATCTGAGGAATGCAATTGCCGTGTCCTGTGAGCTGTTCCTGCCTTGGTTTTATGATCTTAGGAAGGTGATCGCAAGGGCAGGATTCTTACGTGATAAGCAGAATAAAGTAATGTTTAAATTGAACAAGATTAATATGGAACTCAGGTTAGAACACATATTCATCTCTCAGAAATTCTAATCTATCTATACTATTACAGGATGCCTTAGGCACCGAGCTACCAAAACTTCTTTTTTTGTGTGTGAGAGAATATAATCTATTTTCACTCTTCCTGAAGGCATACTGCTCCTCCCTAGTTTTTTCCTAGAACTTGTCTGTACATGGCCATAATGCTGGTTTAATGGTCAGAAAGAACTCAAATGGCATCTGAAACTTATGTTAAGTCTCAAAGGAGTTAGGGCTCCCACTGAGGACCATCTAATACAGAACCCACCAGCCACTTCGTGGAAGAAACATGAGGCAGTCTGCTTCCATAAGGATTTACAGCCCTGGAAACCCTATGGGGCAGTTCTGCTCTGACCTATAGATTGCTGTGAGTTGGAATTGACGGCAGCAATGGGTTTAGTTTGGTTTTGGTTTACATATTTAGGGAACATTTGATATAAAGGTTGAAATTGTCTTTTTAACGCAAAGCAAGATGAACTAAACACTTCAAGGCCTGAATTCTAGTTTTAGCTCTGTTACTAGATACCATTGTGACATTAGGTGAATCATCTAATCTCTGTTGACTTCTTTTCAGTCCCTTTATGTATAAAATGAGAGGTTTGGATTAAGTAATTTCTTGGTTTCCTTCAGACCTCAGGAGTCCCTAAAGTAGATTGAGATGTGCTTGATACTTTCTTCTTTAGGTTGCCAAACTGTCAAAGGAATTGGAAGATGCCAAGAAAGAAATGGCTTCTCTTTCTGCTGCAGCAGTTCTTGTAGTCTCTCCTGTACCCAGCAGTGATAGCATTCCCCCTGCCCCTCCTTTACCTGGTGACTCTGGAGCTGTTATTTCACCCCC